GAAACGGTGCTTTCCAAAAAAAAAAAAAAATTAAAATAAATCGCCAGTGTCCCATCCGGTGCGGTTTCCAGCCTCAGGCTCAATTTCCCCCCCAATTTCTTGCAGGACAGTTCCCCCCGCAGCCGTCCTACCCCGTCCAGTCCCCCGCCGTCTACCCGCAGACTCTGCCCCTCCCGCAGCCGCCGCCGTACACGGACGCACCTCCTGCTTATTCCGAGGTAGGCGGGATGCTTCTCCGAAGGTTTTATAGCTGAATTATTATTGTTAATTATTATTATTTTGCCTGGAGGACTGTGTTTGCTGCTGGTGTCACTGGGCGCCGGTCAGTCCCTGGTTTCTCTTCTACGACATCTGAATCATCCACTCAAAGTGATAAACATTTCCGAGCTTCCCCTCTAGTTAAGACGACAAATTTAGCTCACCTGTAGCTGTAAAGCACATCTACCATCATCTCTCTTAGTTGGATTCTTGCAGACAGTGAGGGGAAAACTGTCCCTAACGGTGGGGAGGAATGTCCTTTTGCCCCAGTGCACAGTAACTGCCATTACTGTTGGGGGGTTCCTGTGCGCAAGCAGGAGGGTGAAAGTCTGTGTCGGGGCTCGTGCTCTGACAGCAGGGCTGTGCAAACAGCTGGGCATGGGGAGTGACAAGTTAAAGAATCACAGAGCGGTTTGGGTTGGGAGGGACCTTGAAGCCCATCCAGTCTCCCCCCTGCCCTGGGCAGGGCCACCTCCCCCCAGCCCAGGTTGCTCCAAGCCCCGTCCAACCTGGCCTTGAACCCCTCCAGGGATGGGGCAGCCACAGCTTCTCGGGGCAACCTGCCCCAGGGGATCACCACCCGCACACTCAACAATTTCCCCCTAATATCTTACCTAAATCTCCCCTCTTTCAGTGTAAAGCTGTTCCCCCTCGTCCCACGGCTCCCCTCCCTGATCCAGAGTCCCTCCCCAGCTCTCCTGGAGCCCCTTTAGGCACTGGAAGGGGCTTTGAGGTCTCCCCTTTTTCTCCTTCTCTTCTCCAGGCTGAACCCCCCCAACTCTCCCAGCCTGTCCTCCCAGCAGAGGGGCTCCAGCCCTCCCAGCATCTCTGGGGCCTCCTCTGGCCCTGCTCCAACAGCTCCATGTCCAAGTCTCTAAACTTGCTCTCACGGCTATTTTTCTTCCCAGCTTTACCGTCCCAGCTTTGTGCCTCTGGGGGCTGCCACCGTACCTACCATGTCTGCGGCGTACCCCGGCGCTTCTGTCTTCCTGCCCATGGCCCAGTCTGTGGCCGTGGGGCCGATCGGCTCGTCGGTCCCCATGGCATATTACCCCGTGGGACCGGTTTATCCTCCGGGCTCGACAGTCCTTGTTGAAGGTGGCTTTGATGCTGGAGCGAGGTTTGGGGCTGGTGGAACAGCCAACATCCCGGTAAGTATAAACGTATCCTCAAAACCCTGCGTGCTTCACCATTAGGGGTTCACAGATGGTAGTGGGGGAGAAAAGGTCCTTTGTTTTCTGAGAAAAAACATAATTCTTCCCCGATCCGTCATTTGGGAGAAGAGTAGGCTCCTACTTTCACGCTGAGGGTTTGCTGCCTCTGGCCAACCTGCGGCTCTGGAGCCACTTTAGGCTCACAGGTGGTTGTGGCTCACAGCAAAACCATGGTGTGGCCAGTGCTAGCCACAATTTGGCCTGGGGGCCGTGGTGTGATGCGCTTCGGGCGGGGGGAGGCAAGCCAGTTGGGCTGTGTAGCGACCTGACTTTTCCTGGCCCCAAACGCGGGCTTGGCCACTTTCCATGCTACGGTGGAGCTGTGGGAGGTTCCTGCTCCCCCGGACGTTCCCCCCGTGGCTCGTGGCCACGTGAAGATGTTGTTCCATGGCTCGCAGGCTCCTCTGCGTGGGCAGAAAGCCCCTGGGGTCGGCCGCATGGGTTGTAGGCTCCGAAAAGAGCGGGCAAGGGCACGGACGAGGAACCGAGCGTTCGCCATCAGCTCCTGGGGACTGTGTCGCTCAAGTCTTTGCTCGGTAGCAAGCGATGGGGGGACATCGACTGGGAGGGTGCTGGGGCCCCCCCGCAGCCCGCGGTGGCTTCGTGCCAGCTCCCGCCGTGCCACCGACCTCAGCTGATCCTCCCACCCCTCCTTTCTCTGTCTTCCAGCCCCCCCCGCCTGGCTGTCCCCCCAACGCCGCCCAGCTGGCCGTGATGCAAGGAGCCAACGTCTTGGTGACGCAACGGAAGGGAAACTTCTTCCTGGGAGGCTCAGACGGCGGCTACACTATCTGGTGAAGAAGGAAGGGGAAGGGAGGGGGGAGAGGGGGGGGCTACATTTGTGTAAGGAAAGAAACATCACATACTGTCAGCACTTCTCACGATGTAACTGCTTTAGTCCATATTAACCTGAAGTTGCAGATTAGACGCAGGGCGGTGAGGTGTCGTCCTGCTTCGGTGCCCGGCCCTGCAGACACTTTAAAGCGAAGCGAGAAACCCCGTTATCGATAGCGGTGTCTGTGTTCAAACGGGGAAGGGAGGGCGGGGGGGGGGAATTAATTCGCCAAAATGAATGTGAGCTCAGCAGCTCTGCCTCGTCCTTTCCTTTCACCGGAGTAACACCGCAGCGCTGAGCTTTTGGTAACGGGCTCCCTGCACACTGGCTCTGGGGCGGGCGAGGGAGTGGGTCCGGTTGTGCTTTCCCTTCACGGTCGTGCCGGTCCGTTGGGTCCAGACCCACAAACCACCCGGGTTTCCCCAGCGAAGGCGCTGGGTAGCGAAGCGAAGCAAACTCTGCTTCCCAGCAGCCGGGAGGGCACCTTGGCGCTTCTTTCTGCCCACCCTCACCCTCGGAGGGATCCCTCGAAGCACTCCGTGCTCACATTCGCCCGTCCTTTTCCTCCAGGAAGGTATGCAGCTGGCGTGTATCATGGGAATTTTTTTTATACACTCCAAGTAATCTTGGATTTCTTTGCACATTAGAGCTAATCAAAGCCATGCTTTGGTGCCAGAAACACAATGCAACTCATGTTTGAACATTTCATTCGATGCTAACTAGGCTTTATAGAACGATGCTTATTAAACAAACTTCTGATTTATTTTTTTTTTCAACTCAACCTGGTGTCTTCACACCAAAACTCCTTACGGCTGTTGTTCAAACAGAGAGGCTGGTTACCATCTGTCCGAGGGTGTGTAGCAACCGTCAATCAACACACAAATTAGCTTGGTTAATGGGTTGTTTCATGAATGCATACTTTAAAAATGACCTGGGTATCATGAAGTCTTAGTAGGGTTAAGAAGAATATTTCAGGGATCCTCAATGTTTTGGTTTTTGTTTTGTTTTATGAAGAAAAATATCAGATTCAAATATATTTTATCTTGAGGTTTCAGTTTAATCTAAATCTGTGTCTTGTACATGTTGTGTTTAACCATACGACTGACTGTTATGAAAGTTCAGCATTACGTCTCTCTCTGTATACACTGTGGTGCACTTAACTTGTGGATTTTTTTATACTAAAAAAAAAAAAAAAGTAGAATAAAGACTATTTTGAAAATTTGAATAAAGCAGCAAATTTGCATTAGACCTCAAATAAAACCCCTTGGCTCCTGCCCACCGCAAGCCTTAGGGTTTCTCCGCTTATTTCCTCTTCGCTGCTATTTTGTGAACTTCCTCCTTTTGGGTGTTGGGTTGTTGTTTTTTTTTTTTTTTCTCGGGTTTGATTTAGAGGAGGACCCGCCTTTGCGAAGGGAGCAGAGGAGGGGTGGTTGGAGCCGCTCCTCGCCCCAAAACGGAGGAAAACTACTGCCTGCGCCTCCACCGGCCCGTGTGTCGGTCCTAACGATGGCTCTGCCGACGAGGGGAACCCGCTCCGCTCCTGACGTCCCCGAGCCCTGCCAGGTCAGGCGCCTCTCGGGGCAGGGACGAGCTGCCCCGCGGTTGGCGGCTACAATGGGGCTTTCTGTAACTCGCACGGTCCCTCCGTCTGTTTTCCATGCGCGCTTAACCTTAGCCTACGGATTAGCCGTGCTAATTACCCCACCCCTAAATCATCGGCAGAATAACTTAGTTGGTTTTTGTGAGATAAGGAAAACGGCGACTCTTTGAGCGTTTGTTGGGGGCTGTATTAGGAAGCGGTGAAGTGGGGAGATGGGGTGGGTTCCCCCTCTCCTCTGCCAAGCTGACGTACTCCCCGGTCTTGCTCCACACTGGGCAGTGATGGGCAAAGCTCCGCCACACACCTCTTTATTTTCCCTTCCACGTTTGGCTTAATAAATTAAGGAAAACAGCAATAAGAACAACAAAAAAAAGCAGCTTGTAGATCCTTGGCTCCAGGAAATACAGGTAACTTGGACCTGAGCGCATCGGGTGTGCGCTGGGCCGGGTGGCTTAGATAAAATACTCCTCCTTCTCCTTGGATGGAGCATCTTCCATCTGCACCGAGACGTCGGTCTCTGCCACCGGCTGCTCGTAGGTGAGGTAGCTGCCTTTGTTTCTGTACAGGTAGACGATGATCACCACCAGGACGGTCAGCAGGGTGAGGAAGACGAGGGTGATGACAACTACCGGGGGAAGACAGAGAGAGGAGCAGGGTTTAGCCCTGAGCGGTCGGTACCGAGCGGGTAAAGGGGATGGATCGGGCAAGGAGAGCCCCTACCTGCGATGACCACAGTGTTGGCGTCTTCATGGAGAGGTGGGGTATGAGCCTTCTTCAGGGAGGGGGTTGTCAGCTCTTCTTCATCGAACCGAGAGAGAAGGAGAGAGGAGAAAGTGAGCAAAGCTGGCTCTGACCCGGCTCTGAGCCAGGCTTAGCTGGACGGGGCGTGCGGTGGCCCTGGGCAAGTGCTCGTCGAGGGCTAGGGAGGGGATTGTGCCCCTCTGCTCTGCTCTGGGGAGACCCCCCTGCAGTGCTGCCTCCAGCTCGGGGGGTCCCACCAGCAGAAGGACACGGAGCTGTTGGAGCGGGGCCAGAGGAGGGCACGGAGATGCTGGGAGGGCTGGAGCCCCTCTGCTGGGAGGACAGGGTGGGAGAGTTGGGGGGGTTCAGCCTGGGGAAGAGAAGGTGAAAAAGGGGAGAGCTCAGAGCCCCTTCCAGTGCCTAAAGGGGCTCCAGGAGAGCTGGGGAGGGACGTTTTACATGGGCACGTAGTGATAGAATGAGGGGTGATGGCTTCAAACTGGAAGAGACTGAGATGAGATATTAGAAGGAAATTGTTGAGTGTGAGGGCGGAGATCCCCTGGGGCAGGTTGCCCCGAGGAGCTGTGGCTGCCCCATCCCTGGAGGTGTTCAAGGCCAGGTTGGACGGGGCTTGGAGCAACCTGGGCTGGTGGGAGGTGTCCCTGCCCAGGGCAGGGGGTGG